GCTCCATTGACTGGCCTAGCGCGCGCTGAGGTGACATGCATGCCATAGGCCGTACGTACCCTGCGCACCCTTGGGATCGTTGGGACCAACTAGAGGATTACCTCCGCCGAGATGAAGGTGTATGATGACTTATTCGCGACACCCATCCCGCGAGCCCTGGTCGACCAAGAGATCCCGGTGTGCATGCCCGCTCCATTGACTGACCTAGCACGCGCTGAGGTGACATGCGTGCCATAGGCCGTATGTACCCCCCCCCCCGTCGATCATGTGTTCATGGATCACAACCTTAGGATCGCAGATTGGAACGTGTGCGGCCTCAACAGGCGCGCCCGGCACATTGCCATTCGATCGCTGCTAGTCACTACTTCCGCCTCCATTGTATACTTACAGGAAACAAAAATGGTGTTGATTTGTTCGTCCGTTGTCCTTGACACTCCTGGCTCGGAATTCAACGACTATGCATACCTCCCAGCTCAAGGCACACGAGGCGGCATCCTGCTAGCATGGAAGAGCAGGGTCCTGACTATCACGGACCGACTATTCAACGGGCCCTAGTGGTTGTCGGTCGTCTATAGTCCCCAAGAAGATGCGAATACGATCCCCTTGTAAGAGCTTCGCGAGATTCGCGCGAATTGCTGGCCATGGTTGTTGTGTGGCGACTTCAACTTAATCATCTACGACGAAGACAAGAGCAACGACAACTTGAACAGACGCATGATGGGCAGATTCCACCGCATCATCAACGACCTCGCGTTGAAAGAGATATACCTCAACGGACGACGATTTACATGGTCGAATGAGCAATCACCGCCTACCCTGGTGCACCTCGACCGCGTGCTTTGCACTTTAGATTGGGAGGAAGGGCATGGCAATTGCTACCTCCGCTGCCTCACGTCCGTCCTGTCGGACCACAACCCCCTCCTTGACTGGTCGCCCACACATACATCACACGGGCGCTTCCTGTTTGAGGATTTTTGGCTGTGATTGGGTAGGTTCCACAACACGGTGGCCACGGCATGGGGTTCAGTCCACGACCAGGATCCTTTCCGTCGTCTGATGCTACGTCTCCAAGGCATGGCTCGCAAACTTACCGGCTGGAGTGCCAAATCCACAGGGAATATCCGGGACAAGAGGGCTATCTACTGGAGCTCATCTCGCGCTTTGACAAGGCCCAAGCGGATCGTGCGCTCTCCACTCCAGAGGACTAGCTACGGAAGCAGCTCGAGATCTCCTACCTCAAGCTCGCGTCCTTGGAGCGCACCATGATTGGTGAACACATCGCCACACTCAAAGACGGCGATGCATTCTTCCACCGGCAATGCTCCTTCCGCCGGCAGAAGAACCACGTGTTCAGCCTTACCATGGATGGCCATGTGTTCACCAATCATGGGGATGGCGCAGGCGGCGTTCTCGCACTCTGACGAGCTCTTTGACTCCCCCATCGCCCGCTACCGCTCGCAGACTTGGCGCAACTCAGTGAGCCGTGCGATCTGGCATGCATTAATGCACCATTCAGCCCAGAGGAGATATGGGATGCCGTCAAACGCCTACCGGCCCACAAAGCGCCTGGGCTCGATGGGTTTACAGCCGAGTTCCTGCCGGGCATGCTGGGGCATTGTTCGGCATGACTTCGTGGATGTCTTCCAACAATTGTTTGAGTTGTGTGGCCGCGGCTTTAGCAAGCTCAACCAGGCCCTTCTAACCCTGCTCTGAGCGCGCTGACACCTGCTAGCTCCGCGATTACCGCCTGATATGTCTGATACACCTGATGGCCAAGATCTTTGCGGAAGTGCTCTCGCTGCGCCTCGCCCCAGATTGGACTGCCTGGTTAGCCGCAACCAGAACGTATTCACCCCAGGGCAAAGTCTCCACGACAACTTAACAGTGAGCCTGGCCCACCAATCTGGCACCCAAGCGGGTTGCTCCAAGGTGACCCCTTGTCCCCACAGCTCTTTGTGCTCGTTGTGGACACCCTTGGCTGCCTGATTTGCCACGCCACGACTCCGGCATCCTGCAACAACTGCATCTCCGATGAGCTATTCCGGCGATCTCCCTATACGCCGACGATGTGATGCTCTTCTGCCATGCCACGCTGGACGATGTGGCGGCCGTCAAGGGCATCTTAACCCTGTTCAGCAGAGCTAGTGGCCTCCGGGTGAACTAGACCAGAAGCTCTACCACCATCCTTCACGGTGACCTCGAGGCGGCCGAGACGATTGCCCAAGTGGGATGCCCAGTAGTGGAGCTCCCCATTACTTACCTTGGCATCCACTGATATTGCGCCGCCCAACTACAGCCCCTCGTTGACTCGGTGGCTGCTAGTCTCCCGGCATGGAAGGTTTGGCTCATGAACAAGGCCGGACGACTTGCATTGGTCAAATCAGTGTTGTAATCCCGATTCACCAAATACTAGCGTTTACCCCCCCCCCCCAAAAAAAAAGAAGACCCTTAGGCAGCTGAGAAGATCCAGCAAGGCTTCTTGTGGGTTGGGCGCGCTATCGCTAATGGAGGAACCTGCCATGTCAATTGGCGCCACGTGTGCCGCCCGCTAGAGTACAGCGGCCTAGGGATCCGAGACTTGGAGCGCGCCGGGCTCGCATTACGGCTGCGATCAAACCTGGCCAAATGGGCCGGCACGGCATGGCACGGCCCGTCCTGGATTAAACGGGCCAGACACGGCACGGCCCGGACTGGATTAAACGGGCCAGACACGACACGGCCCAACCAGGCACGCTAAGTACACAAACCATGCCGGTCCGGCACACGTGCTGTCCTCTCTCGCCCAGACACGCCCCCCTCGCTATACAGGCCGTACCAGCCCGTTTGGCACGCTGGCACAGCGACCCGAGTAAACAGATCGAGGCACGTACGTTGTCCAAAAATAAGAAAGATAGAGGCACCTACGTCTCGTAGCCTCAAAAAAACCTACATCTCGTGGGCTAGTGCTAGAAGGCACATCTAGGCCAACTAAAAGAAGAGATTAAAAAATGAGGCAATCGAGCCACATTCTGTACGATCATGCCACTCCTCCCGGCCCTCCCGCAATGACTCTTTCGAGCGAGACGCTCCTCGGCCACGTGCGCTCGTGCCGCTTCTCCCCATCTCATGCGCTCTTCCCGCAACGACTCTTTCAAGCGAGACGCTCCTCGGCCACGTGCGCTCGTGCCGCTTCTCCCCATCTCATGCGCTCTTTTTTTCGAGTGAATCCTGATCTCGTTCGCTCGTGCCGCTCCTTCCAGGTACAATCACTCCTTGCTCATGTTTGTTAGACGTGTCGGGCTGGGCCGGCACGCGTGCCTGGCTAGCCAGCCCAGGCACGGCCCTAGCCAGGCCACGTGTCGGGCACGGCCCGTTAAGCCACATGACGGCTCGGCCCGTGACGGGCCAGGCACACGGGCTATCGGGCTGGCACGTCTAGGCTGGCCCATTTGGCCAGGTTTGGCCGCGATGGCTATGGTTCGCTCTCACAAATGATGATTGCGCATGGCAAGGGCTTGATTTCCAATTCTCCCAACAGGAGCGCGTGCTATTCTTTACCTCCACCACTGTGGTCATCGAGAATGGCTCGACGGGCCTGTTTTGGGACGATCACTGGCTAAATGGCAGTCCGTATGCAAATTTGCACTCGTGCTATACCAGTGCATCCCAAAGCGGCGGCGCAAATCAAGAACGGTGGCCGAGTTACTCGGTGGCAACACTTGTGCCCACGATGTCCAAGGAGTCCTTGGGATACACGAGATTGGGCAATATTTGTTACTTTGGTAGGCCGAGCAGCACATCACCCTTACGAACAAGACAGACCGGCTGCTCTAGAGATGGACGGCCAACGGCACCTCCTCGGCAAAGTCTTGCTATGCCACCACCTTCCACGGATCCACGCGATGCCCCTCATGTAAGTTGACCTGGAAGAGTTGGGCGCCGCCTCGCGTTAAGTTCTTCCACTGGTTGGCCGGCCAAGACCGATGCTGGACTGCAGCACGACTCACCCAACGCGGTCTGCAGCATCACCCCATATGCCTCCTTTGCTATCAGGCACCGGAGAAAATCCAGCACCTGCTCCTGGCCTACCCGTTTGCCCGGCAAACCTCGCACATCATCCTTATGGACAGGTGGCCGCAAGCGAAGGAGCAGACACCTCCCACGCTACGTAAAGCCCTGCAATCCATCACCATGCTCGTTCCCTAGATGATCTGGAAGCAGCGGAACGAATGCGTCTTCGACAACGCAAGACCCTCGATTGATACGTTAGTGGATAGGATCAAAGATGAGGCCAAATGTTGGGCACAAGTAGGGGCACAGGGCCTCAAGGTCGTTCTCCCCGCGTCCTGGGATGTCCACTGATCGGGCGCATGGCCCTTGTAACACTCACCACTAGGAGGATTGTTCTTTCCCATCTTTTCAATGCAATGAAACGCAAAGATCCTTTGCGTTTTCTCGAAAAAGAATGACCAATTTTGTCGCGAACAGCACAAATTGTTTACACCATATACAAGGAAGCCAAGTTCAGTAACTAGCTAACAGGCCATGGGAGGAGGATTGTTCTTTCCCATCTTTTCAATGCAATGAAACAATGCAATGAAACGCAAAGATCAAGAATGACTAATTTTGTCGCAAGCAGCACAAATTGTTCACACCATATACAAGGAAGCCAAGTTCAGTAACTAGCTAACAAGCCATGGGATTAACTCAATTGTGTTACAATGTACAAATCCCAATGCACTCTTTCAAACTACCAAACTTCACTTTTCAAATTCCAACTGATCACACTTCCCATTTTGACAAGAATCTGAATTGATTTCGTGCTTTATTAATAATTAAGAATTAACTGACTGAGAGAAACATTATAGTATTAACAAACATTGGTAAAGTTGGAGATATTAAGTACACCTTCAAATTATGTTCAAAAAAAAGTACACCTTCAAATTACAGATTTAAATCAGATAAATTTTGTTGATATATCAACTGAATCACATAAAATGTTTTATTTGACACTACTGGAAAGCTACAAATTGTTTGTAAGGAAACTCACGTTGTTACTACAGCTGGGAGACCTTCTGGAATGGCTGCAACAGCAAGGGCAACTGCTACCTATCAAAAGAAAACAGTGCATATTTTCCAGAAATCAAAGTTAGGCACGATAATTAATAATGGTTGAAAGCAGCAGTATAAGGTACGAGGAAGTACAAAATTAACTAATCCCTCCAATCTTAAGTATAGCTTTGGGTACATGAAGTAAGAAGCAATACAAAATGGCATTGGCACCCTTCATTATTCACAAAAATTATCATTTTTTCATTCAGTATGTTAGAAAGCTTCATTATCAATGAGAACATGCACATTTACTACGAAGGGTTAACAATAACACAAAGCAATGAGTAAATAAGCTTCCAGGTTGTAGAACGATATATACTTAAAGAGAAGTTCTTAGGGCTAAAATGACTTGCTTGCAATGGGAAGTATTAATTAAAGATAACAATGCCTAACCGGGGTGGATTGACAGCTCTTTATCAAATGCATGTAGGTAGGTCCACTTAATGGACACAACTATATGAACAAGGAACTCATTTAAGATTTTAAGCCAGTCAACTTGAATGAAACGAAAGTTGCTGTCATCAACCACATCTAAACAATCGAGAATGAAACGAAAATTGCTGTCATCAACCACATCTAAACAATCGAGTTTCCAGGTACAGACCATACTGTGCAACATCATAAATGGCCTGAGCATATGAGTTATAATAAATGGCTATAAACAATGTCATTCTACAGATACATGCACTATAGAGCCTGACAACAATAACCCCAGCTAATTTGTGTGAATGTAGCTTTCATGAAGATACAGTCTACGAAAGAGAACCAACGATACCAAATTCTGCACTCTGGCTTAACACACAACAAGCAAATCTCTGATAATCATATTACAGAACCTACAATGAGCAAATACCAATAATCGAACATTCAGACAAAACAGGAATATTGATATTACCTTAAAATAATGAATGGCACCCCTAAGAAAGCCACCATGAGAAGGATCTCGGAAATGGCCAATATTTACAACCCAAACAAGAATACAGATCCCTGCTATAACCTGAAAATAAAATTAAAAAATCTGATTAAGCCTGAAAAAAGCATTTGAACTTCAAACTATATGATTCCTGAAACAACAACGGTGATTCACTCTCAACCAAGCTTATATTCCACCCATTCTTTTTGTCATTCTAATATTTTCCCCATTAGCACAAGTAATATTTTCACAAAATACACTGAAATCACAGTTATGTTCACAGTTTGCACTGGTCAACTTCTAATCTGAGTTGGACTTGTTTTAGACTAGAATTATTATGACTCTCCAAGTCTCTAATCTATCAGACATGTATCATGCCATGGACCTGCAACCCTAGCTAGGTAAACGTGACTTCAGTGTAATTAGATATGTGCATCTTACAGGTTAGAGAAACATATGAGCGCAAATAAAGGGAATCCAAGTTAATTTATAAGAGATGGATCAAACAGTCAAGTACAAAAATGGAAAACCTACACAAAATTTGGGAGCAAAACTACCAATCATAAAGTTGCTGATATTTCAAGAGAAATGTAAATGAATATACTAAACCATTAAGGCTCTTTAGCAAAGGAAAACAAGATTCAATTGTGGTTAGCTTTCCTTGTGAAATCTTCATCAGGCTCTCTTCCAGTAAATGGTTATAAACTTATAATTTTGATTGGTTCCATACAATAATGCCCCTTAATTTTGGAAAGAAAAACTACTCATAACATGTTGGAAAAGACCATGGTCAGCTACCTTTGCCAGAAATGTGCCAAATTCGTCCAGTTTTTTCTTCAGTGGAGTCGCTTCCTGGATGTGTGGAAATATCGTCAGTACGTAAAATTGTCACTATACATAAAGCAATCATAGTGCTAAGACACAAAACAATACTAGAGCAGCAAAAAGATTAAGTGAAAATATATATTTCGAATGAGAAACATCAGTATCAAATTTTATCATAATATACACAAATGAGAAGCAAATCGAATGCTTACATCCTCTGTTCTCAGCATTGCATCACGTATACTTCCCATTGCAGTATTAGAACCAACACCAATAACGACAGCTCTTGCTCTACCAGCTACAACAACAGTACCCTGGGAAGCAAAGGCATCAGGTAGCATGCAAAGTTCAGAAGAAGCAACTGGAGAATGGATGTAATGAGCAAAAAATTTGAAGAGAAAGTGTTCTTTCAGATGTAATTTGAAGAAAAAAATACCCCGGAGTTCGAATTAAAGCAGTTCAAGAAGATATATCACTTTTTTAGGTTTAAGACGGCGCTGGATGCTAGGCAGGAGTTCTGTGCCACCTAGTGCCAGTAGCCTGAAATTTGTTCCTCTAAAATCCAGAGCAGTCTGAACATGTACTGCGATCTGGACGACAAACCTAAGTTGCGCCTAGGCGTGTAGGCCTGGGCATTCGGTAGAAACCGAAAGTTCGGTTAGTACCGTTCGGTTCATTTTTAAATTCAGTTATCGAAAATGCTAATCGAAATTGAATGCCCAAAACTGAAAACCGAAAATTCGGTTAACCGGATATTTAGGTTCGGTTTTCAGTTTACCCGAACCAGGGCTTTCTTTTGTATTCTATCACAGCGCAAGTACACACACCTTTATATAGCCGAGCTACCTACTCCCTTCCCGTTAGCTGGGCGATGTGGGACTAAAATGATATACTACTACCGGCCAGTTCGCACCATCGGCTGCACCTTTTCACGTTCAACTAGCTCACAGACTTGCACATTGTTGGGCTTGGGCCTTGGACGTATGTGGTCAGCCCAAGGGAGCGGCTGGTATCTGGTCGCATGCGTACAGTCAGCGCTGTGTCGCGAAGCTTTGATCGTTCGTCCAAGCTTTCTCGTGTGTAGTTCGGCTTTTCGGTTTAACCGATAAATATACTGAACTGATCGATCTCATTTCGGTTAGTGAATGCAAAAACCGAATATTCTTAAACCAAGGATAAAAACCAAAATTTCAGTTTATTCGGTTTCGGTATCAGTTCGGCGTTCGGTTTGTCGGTTTTTATGCCCACCCCTATAGGCGTGCCAAGAGACGCTCTGCATGATAGCAGCAGCTGCAGGCTTCACTGCTCAAGCGGGTAGAAACTAGAGGGGTGAAAGAGTCAAAACTGAAATGAAAAAGGGAAAATTAAGGCCCCACCAGGCCCATTTGCTCACTAAGCTGCTGCTTTAGTTACGTCATGGTTCAGATCTGCCTACAGATCGTGCTGCCGCTGTCACCACGACTGCATGAGCAACAACATCTAATGTCATCAACCCCATCACTGATGACACGCCGCCACGGGTGGCAACCCACTACAACACTTTCTTACCTTGCTGCAGCCGTTCATTTTCAATGTCCACACACCACCTCCTTGTCCCTCCTCATCGATGCGTCGCCAGTGAAAACACCTTCGGCAGAGAACCTAGGGCCAAGGCTACATATTGCTCTCCTAGTGTTTTCGCACGCCTAGGTGGGCGCCTAGACACATCTTTTTTAACCCTTTTATGTGTTACAAGCTCTCAAATGTAAGATTTACATTAAGGTTTCAAAAGATAATCACACAATCCTACAAAGACTTAAACATATCAAACTGCGTATTGTTTTTCATCGTTTCTCGATCTTACCTAACGGCCAAACGAATATGCTTGTGAATAAGCAGAGAGGACAAAAGATCGCTAGCTCAATTATTTTGAGCGAACAAGACATGTAGGTATGAGCAGTGTTTCCACAATGGAAAAAAATGGATGGGACATATCCTGAATAACAGCCTCACATGGCTCCTACATTTTCAGGACACTCCAATCTGATTCATCATCCCTCAACCAACGGATTCGCATTGAAGTTTAGATATTTTCATTTTAAAAAGCATGTTTACTTGATTAGTTCCCTAGACTGAACGCTATAAAAAATCGATAGATCTATGTGATTACCAAGATACTGGGTTGCACATATACACCTACCGAGAAAAGAATGTTTGTTTTGTCCTGGTAGACAGCATTCATTGCTGAAGTTGAATCAAGCTCTTTAGCCACTGAACAGCTTTCCCCTAGAATAATGCACAAAATAAACAAGCGATTCAGAAACACGTATGTTAGCTGTTGATAGGTTGAACCATGCACCTAGCAATGTCTCTAGCGACAATGATATGGCCAGATCAATGCACTGCCCAAAAAAAGGGCATAACATTTCTCCTGTTCTCTAAAACAAGATTGCCACGACAAACTAGTAAACTTCTAATATTAGGATGAACAGGAGGATAGCACAGGACAACACAAAATATACCTGTCAGAATTGCCTGGTCAACACGCAATTGATGGCTTAGCATTTCAACCATTCTCATGTCAGCTGGAACTTTGCAACCAACTACCCATAAGAAACAAGGTGTAACCAAGTTAGATCAGGAACATAATCAGCATTATGCTAAATGGAAATCACTTGAATGGCCTTGGACAGTACCTCCCACTTCTACAATATCTCCAGGGACAAGTTCTGTTGCTGGAAGTATAGAAAAGCAACCTAACAAATTGAACATTGACAAGTGACTCAATCATATGAATATAAATAAATAGTTTAAAGAACATTAGTAACATTTAATACTGAGTCTTTCAAGTGAAGATATATCAATCCAATCGTAGATATCAAGATAAACACTTTGTTTTCACAAATCAACAAATACAAGGATTGTTAACCAGGTGGAAGCTGATTAAAAGGCACTTCTGGAGCAAGAAAGTATGATGCAAGTAAATGTTGCTCTTAATCAAAACATTTTTGCTTCAATTCATAGCCTTACAAACCAACTTTAAAAAAGTTGCAAGTGCAGCCCAACTCCTACTTTAATGACACATGTACATGCACGCAAAGGACATGCACAAAAGAAGAACTGACAGGGACTAAGGTTTGCACAAGACTCTGCTTGACATGATGTGTCAACGATATAAGTAGGCTCAGGCACACTCAGATCTTTAGCAGCCTGTGACAATGTATGTAAACCCAATCTAAAAGTGGCCTTGGCATCATCAATCTCTTCCAAGAGAATGATGCCCTTCTTATGGAACACCTTCACAAGTTCTACGATAAGCATGGCATTCCCTGGGTCCAGCTCACACAAACCAACCTGCAGTGCCAATGACATATGAGCTCATGCCTCACATGTCTGTCAAAGCAAGTTGATTTTGTTGAACTTGAATTTTTCAAGTGGAATGGTTACAAGTACATATTTCCAATTTCAAAACTAAAGAGTAGATGCAACTCATAGCCATAATTAACAAAAGTTCAATCAGAAGACTGCAAATAAAAAATTGTGTGAAAATATGCTTACACACTCAAAATGCAATAATCGATTCGAAAAGTTTATTACCATTGCGAAGCACCGTTGCAACATCTGCTTGATATGCTCGCAACTCCTGCAGATTTTTCAATAAACGAGTCATTGTGGATGGACAACAAGAGTTGGCCATTGCAATATCAATTGCAGTTACATAGTACAAGATGAAGATAATAACTAGCATATGGAGTTAGATTAACCATGCGTAGAAAAGGAATAATTAGGACCAAAATCAGTACTCTTAGTATTGCTCCAAATATGTGAAACAAACTATAATGGAGTTGGAAACAAGAGAACATGACCAGGGTGAACATGGTGTATTCACGATTATGCATCCAAGAATTAGGTAAAAGCCATTTAAACATTCCAAGTTTCACCTTGAAGTAATTTGTATGATGTTTGTAGGGAAAGAGGGAAACAAGAAAACATAGGACAGCAGAAGATTTAAAGCCACGCATAATATCTCACAGCACGTGCAAAAAGAAAATCATATCAAACAGCAGTAAACCAGATCTGCAGAGTTAAGCACGACACTGGAGCCTTATTTAAAAGTAAGAACCTCGAGAGCTTTTTCAGCATTTGTTTCTGTGATCACACCAACTGCTGCATTTGCTGCTAATATCATAAATATGACCTATGCAATCAAAACAAAGGCCATCTTGTTAGTTACTGCCTTCATGTGGCACTTGAAAATCATCTTCCTCAAATAGGACATATGCTCCAAAGTGGATCAACTTACAGATGGTTCCAAAAATGCTGTTAATCCAGTTTCACCATTCAATCGAGCCAAAAGGAAGGATACCACAGCAGCTGCTATCAATATTTTGACGAGTAAATCATCAAACTGTTTCAAAACTAACTTCCAGAAGGGGGTACCTGGGTCAGAAGTTTCAGGTTAATGGATGATGAATAAAGGGTAACAAAACTAACTTTCTTTTATCTATTTATCTTCCTTGAAATCCTTATTCGTTTGTTCTGGTTACGATTTTTATTTATTTTTGGTAAAATCCTCCTGGAACAGAATCGAGTTAGTTGTTATGAACTTCAATAAAGTTAACTTCTGTAGCTGGTGCCAAAGAGAACAAAGACCCAATACAATATAATTTGGTGATCATCCAACAAGGTATTTGTCTAACACAGTATTTGCAAAAGCTTGCTAGGACAAGTCATCATCCAAGGTAAAGGATGTTAAAGGGTAGTATGGCTAGTATTTATGTCTTAGGGTTATTTCTTGTATCTGCGGAGAAACAGCCCGACTGGGTGCATTAAACATACCTATTCAATCCAACAGTAACAAATACCTATAAAACGCGTACTATTATACTACTACCCTTGACATTTTCTACTACCTTACCAAAATAAATCATTTTTACATGGGAATCACCAAACAGTAGAGCTTACACATTTCAATGATACTCTCCTTCTCATAAAACATCCAACTTTTCAAAATTGTCGTTTGCAATGCAAGTACATTGGCAAACTTGACATATAATCATTACAATACTTTTGCTTTATACCCATATTTAAATCATATTGAGTAATTGTAGCATGCCAACTAATAGAACTCGTAGTTTCCATGCATCCTTGTCAATCCATGGTTGACTTATATTCAGTTATTCAGAAAGGGTAGATGAGTAAGGCAGAGACAATGTAATACCAAGTACCAACATCTTCTGACGGCAAACACTTTGGAGAAAAGGTGTAACAGGCAATATGAAATGTGTTGCCACATGTAAAATGAACATTAGAAGTTAGAACTGATAGCTTACTTTCTTCTTGGGGCAGCACTGCAGATCATCCATGCACGAAAGCAAAGTGCAGCAATCAGTTAGAGGCCACAATAATGATAACAAGAATCAAAATGTATGAATACCGCAATGCAAAATTAGATGACAACATAAATATGTCTGCCCTCAAAATTGTGCAGGGGTCTCGACTGAAGCTTTCAAATTTTACTGAGAAAATGGTAGGGATCTGAACTACATCCAAAGTATGAAAGCTGTATCAATTCAGTTAAATCAGCATCACGGTGACTTCCAAATTTCATTCAGGGATTACAAAAGTCGATACGTGCGGGTTATGGCATTACATCCGTGACAAAATGTTTTTTGTCGGATAACCTCAGCAAGTTATAAGGGTGTGAGGCCGTTCCCCGTTATTAGTATTACAAAAAAGTCACCAAGCACATTCATGCAAAGCACATCTCCTCATTTAGAAATGCTCTGGTTTTAGATGGTTCTAGTGGCTAGGACTTAACCACCAAAGCAGAGGGCATATCAATGCTGACAAAATATAGAACTATAGATAGCCGCCGTGTGCGAAATAAAAAGCCCTATTCTGATGAATTTGGATAGAATACATTTCGAGGTTGGTGCACAGGAATCAAACAATCCCTCGTCTGAAAAACTTCCTCACTCAGCAAAACCCCATATCCTTCTCTCCATTTGTTACTTTAACACAAGCAGTTCGGCGACAATAAGCAAATGAAAAAGCATTGGACAGCACGAAGTTCCTCACCGTTTTTGCCGTGAAGCAAGGCATGCTGCTCCACCTGCCCACACAAGCCAAAAACCAAATCAGCCCCCCATTCCCCGTAACCCAGACCAAAAACCACAGCGCGGACGGCTCGGAGCAGCACCTGCGAGTCGGAGAGGCCCTTGGTCCGGTCCACGCCGAACGCTTGGAGCACCTGCGAGGAAGGGCGGCGACCAGATCCGTGAGAGGCGGCGGCGGCGGCGAAAGGAGGGAAGGTCAAGCGATGGCGCGAGACGGGGCCGAGATGTGGCGGCGGGGGCTTACCTCCGCGGCGGACTTGGCGTAGGCGTCCTCCATGGTCGGCGGCGCCGACGGGTGGGAGGGGGAGGGGGCGGAGGGGAGGGAGTGATCGCGGCGGCGCGGCCAGGGAGAAGCGGCCGGATTTTCTCAGCTCGGGTTTTGGATTTGGGTGTTTTATTGGTAGCAACGGTGTGATTTGCTGGTCAGAGGACAGGTGGCCGTGGGATCTCTGCTCCGGATCGGCCGCTGGAACACGTGGGCCATGAGGAAGTG